AAAACTCCGAACAGGTAAACACCTACCAGGCTGAAGTCGGCCAAGCTATAGTAACAGATAGGGACAACAGCGTTTTGGATAACTTACGACACAACTGTTTCGGGTTTATCTGCCTCCATTCAACCGAGCATAACCCTGACCACTAACAGAGACCGGAAACAGAACCATGCGCGCACACACGTGTACCGCCTGGTAGACCCCCCCCAGTGATTGACAATCCACGCCATGTGATCGTGCGCATGTTTGCGTTTCCGGTTGCAGCCAGTGATCAGTGTCACGACCGGCTGAATGAAGGCACAATAAGCCCGAAACATTCCTGTATCAGTTTACCCACATTGCTAATACAAGCGAACATGCGAGTCCCAGGAATTAATTGAGAAGTAGAAGACGACTCGATCACTGCGACAATATGTTTATTCGCCTGACGTTTCTAAATCCGTCGCGGATTCATCATCAGAGACATACTCACAGAACAGTAGCAGAAGCAATTTGTGTGTGCACAGGGTTTTGCCGTAAAATTTAAACGTACAGAAAAAAACGACAAATGCCTTGAGTGTGCGCTGCTTCGTTGCGTCAGCAATGGCCATCTGGCCCTGCGTTGTTGGCATAGGATGATGCGGTGCCTGGGCGTTCCCCAAGTGACGACTTGCTTTGGCCAAATTGAGGCTCAGCCTCGAAAATGGATTGGGCAAATCGTTGCACTTGTTTATGGATTGAGGGCCCGTGAACCGTGACTCAAGTAATTCTCGGGTCACCGATTGTCTTGCGAGAATTTTAGCCCCAGAAAATTTGAATGTTTGGCTGGCTGCCGTCGAATTAACCGCAACTTGATAATTCATATCGTTTCGCCGCACTGCTGCCACGTGTTCGGAAATTCGCGTCTTAAGAAGTTTGCCAGGTTCTCCGATGTAATTGCTTTATCCGCAATTGTACCAGATCCTGTAGACGACCCTAGATGTTTCTTGTCGTGGCAGTAGGTCTTTTGGTTTCATTATCTGGCGCCTTATGGTTGGCTCCGGCCTGTGGGCGACTCCAACTCCAAGTGGAGCCGGTAATACCTCCTGTCTACATCATTAGGCACCGTGCGGCCACTGGCGGGGCTCGAGGGTGGACTCCAAGATACGACAGGAGGAGTATGTTCCGTAGTGCGATCGCTGAGTGCTGGAAAGGGCACCAAACTTTGTTACGCAAATTGTCGACGCCGGTCCCTCGCATTGTCGTCACCGTAGGATGTAGAGTAGATGTGCAGAACATTGTGTACATTTTCACACACACACAAGCACACGCGTTTACGCACCGAAACGCGAAATAGACGTCACGCGCTGTCAAGAATCGCACAGTTTAGTCGAAAATAGTAAATATTGGAGTACGAAACAAACCTAGTGGTGGTTTGGCGACGGCTAATTCAACCATTACTACCCTAGTCTACGCTAGTCTTTGCCATTATTCCGTGCTGAAATAATGGTCAAAAACTTATAATCATTGGAACCTTATTCCTTACCAGCTTTTTCATCCCCTGAGCTCTAACAAGGACACATCTGTAGAGCTGAGTTTCAGACAGTCGGGACTATCAGAAAGAGAAAGACTAACGCATGCCGAGGCTTCGCGACGAGACTGCATAGCTTGAAGACAAAGCTGCCTTGATTTAAATCGTGTGCTCTAAGATGTAAGGATTTTGAATAGGGTCTCTGTAGAAAACAGTAACTGTTTGCTGGGAGAAAGCTGCCCGCGCTTTCTTTAACGCTGACCGAAAAGCTTATACGGTCATGTGCTATACGACGGAAATTTAGAATGTGTGTGAGGGAACGCGTTCACAAGGTTTTTGAGAAATAAATGTGTAATCAAAAGTTGCAAGTGTACGCTTAGGCCAGTCTCCTCTTTAACCAACCTGTCTCAGATGGCAAAACTGCTGGTTGTGAAGCATGAAAATACCACGAAATTTAGTTTTTAGACAATTAATAAGTCGTTTATTTCCCTCTAAATCCAATGGGTATCACCGATCGCTCGCTATAAAAAACCATGCGTATCAAGTAGACCAATAAAAAACAGTGTTAATATGAGATAATTTCAAAAGCCCCGTGCATTCGAAGACGAGGTAGGTACCTAAGAAAAGGTGACTTACTCGACGAACTCTTGAGTGGTTCCAATCCCTCAACAGAAAGCAAGCGACTCAATGACTGTGTCAGACAGTGTGATAATGCAGTGGGAGCATCCGACTCTGTAGAGGCTGGATGTCTTCAGTGCACTTGGTGTACTTTCTTACGATAAGCCGGGGCTGGAGCCGAGAAACTCACGTGGAATTTATTCTCCCCCTCTTCACAGTAGTTCTTTTATACACCGGAAGTCCTGCATCTACCCCTTCTATGCATTTATTCCAGCGCATGTAATTTTAACTAATTGGGGAACCAGGAAGCCCCAGAAATGCGCACTATATCGAGAAACTGCTCAGAAAAGGGCAAATTAGGAAGGTTTTCGTGAGGATTCATGATACCTGTTGCGTGGCTGCACTTAGGCCAGACTCCTTTTCAAACAAATTATCTTAGATGGCCGAACTATTGGTTAGGAAGCATGAAAACATCATGAAGTTTAGTTTTTAGACAACTAATAAGTAGTCCATTTTACCTCTAAACCTGATGATTATCACCAACAGCCCGCTTTAAGAAAATTCGCCGTTTAAAATAGACCAATAAATGCATTGTTTACATAGGTCGAGGTTAAACTGTCGTAGATAGGCTGCCTCCAGGTATCGTAAGGTTAGAGTTGTTAGTGCCCGAACAAGTACTCGGAAAGAATTTTTGGGGTCCGCGGAATGACCCGTATCTAGCAAATATTCATTAGTGGATTAACGAGGAGTTCTATTTTCTTATTTCAATAGCAAACTAGGCAAGGGCTCCTTGGCTCTAGTCGCCAATTGCCGTTGCGTTCGCCCTATGTACTTGCACCCGCAAGTGTATGTAAATTCTTAAACACAAGTTGAGGTGGCGTTCTTCGACAGGGTATCGTTCACACATGGAACTGGTAG